AATTGAAGTTTTTGCAGCTGTTGAATACCTGAGATGCCCCAAACAAATAGACGCGTGTTAAGGAAAGAAATGTATTTAGGAAATTAAAAGCATTTCAAATATAGGGTATTCGACACAAAAATACTAGGGGATGGAAGTATCTATTTAATAATAATTTCATTAATTTTAAATATATGACTCTATTATTTAATTTGTATTTCATTATAATATAAAATATTCTGCATATTTACATAGATGCCTATATTATTGATATTAACTGCAGTTCCGTAACACATTTTAAATAAATAAATAAATAAAAAACTGTAAGAGTTGAGACTTAATGCAGAAGCTAAGAACTGTTAAATTATATATTTTAGTGCTATATGAATTAATAATAGCGGGGACTTTAGGGAACTTTTCACTGAACTAATGTCAGCTTAAGTAACTTAATGAAATACTAATTCAGATCACTTTGAAACTAAAACCAAAGTCGAGCTGATGGACTTTACTTTTAGAGAGAGAGAAGAGAAGAGACCGCAATTTTCACATTGAACTCCATTTGGAAAATTTCCTAGGATTGTTAGGTCTCTTTTGCTACGACCTTAATAGGTAGCACACAGAACATATAACCTTAATTAAGGAAGAAATGTAGTTAAGTTCATATCTTAACTACAATTCTTTTCATACATAGAGATAGATATATTAATTAAACGGTATTAACAACAAATATACGGTTATTCAAATAAAAAATTATTAACTATTTTATTTACAAAATGCTTAATTTTAATTGCAATGTAAATGTATTCAAAATGGCTTATAACATAATCTTATATTGCAGAAGAAGATGATCTCCGATTATTACGATTCCTTTTTTAAAGCAATACAAATCTATGACAAAAATCTACTGTAGAAAATTAAGCAACTCTTCAGATTTAATATTAAAATATAAATAACGGATATAAGCCGAAAAAGTATAGAAGAGAATATACAAGAAATGTTAACCCTCTAGCTAGAAGGTTTATTTTATTTCAAATTTAGCATTGCACATGATAAACTCTTTTCCTTACCTAAGCGAGTAAAATAACTGATAAATATGGAAAACTAGCCAAGCGTGAAACATTATACAACTTTTGCATAGGATGCTGTCGATTCTGGCATAATGCGAGGCACTGCAATATTTTACAGCACAATTCACTTTGTGGCAGTCAACGAGGATGATTCGTTCTCTGTTCTCTGCTTTGCATCGTTCGATTCAATTGGCAAAAGTTTTTTATTTCTGGAAAATTGGCATTGTGATGGGTGCACATGAGTCTCACAAAGCTACTGCTGGCAGGGCATTGAGACGCCAGCTGGCTGTCAGGCTGTGTCTGTGCTTTATATCATTGCCTGGGCTGGTCTGCTCCTAGGTCAACGCAAGTCAACGACACTAGCCAGAGCAAGACAGAGATTGAGATTGAGATTGAGAGGGAGAGAGCGAGTGCGAGTGCGAGTGAGAGGCAGAGAGAGGGGGCAACGACAGCTTGCTGTGTTTATAATAAAAAGTACTTCAATTACTTTGTGCAATGTACAACTGTGTAACTGCGTGAGATAAACGGAATAAGCCCGGGCCCAGGCATAGCTGGGGGATGGGAGGCAACCCTTCTGGCATCCTTCACATGAGCGAGTTTTTCTTTATGTTTCGTGCATTTTTGTTTTTGTTTTTGTTTTTTGCGAGTGTCTTCGCTTTGTTTTATTATCCGTTTTGCGCTCCCCTCGCTGACTGCCCTATAATTTATTTATGCCTATGTTTTATTATTAAAGATTTCCCATATATCGCTCGGCAGCGACGCGTTGGCGTTGGCGTTGGCGTTGCCGTTGACGCTGCCGTCCATCCACAGGCCACAGCGGGCTGCTTGTTGACAAAGAAATTACTTATTAATCATATTTGAGCGGTGATTTTACGTCATCACGGAGTCAACAGCTGTTGGCGGCTTCTCATTATCCTTTATCCTTTACGCCCTACCCTTTACCCTTTGCCTGCGGCTCTGTAATCTGTAATCTGCTGAGAAGTTGCCGCTTTGACAGATTTCCCGCACAATGTAGACCCAATTACAGCTGCTCTCGAGACAAGCAGTATAATCAGCGATGTATCTGCTTTCATATATACACAGTCAGCCAAAGTATTCGTATCTGTATCTGTATATCTATCTGTTTCCACACAGATGCAGATATATGTATGTCGTCTTGCTGCTTGGGCTTCTAGTTGCGCCGAGAGACCAGAAAGACATTTGTCGAGCATTAATTTTAGAATATTTCATGTCTTGCGTTTATTCGGCGCTTTGTTTGCACAGCGAGGCACTTGTCTTTCATATATCTCTCAGCCGATTTTACAGGAAGTCCGTCGCACTGCTATAGTGCCGCATCGGTATGATGAATGAAAAACTAGCTACACTCACGATAGTTTTGCCAAACGCCCAGACACCCTGTACCCAAGTGCAACTCAGCGCTCAGCTGTCGAACGCCGGGCAAGGCAAATGCCGCTGGGCCAAATGGCCAGACAGTCAGAGACCGTAAAAACGGCAGCAACAGCAGGAGGAGTGGCCGCAGGAGGAGTGACAGCAGCAGCAGAGGCTGCGGGGCAGCAGATGCAGAGCAACAATAGACACGAGCAATGGCCTAGTCCCAGTCGCACTCCCAATCCCCAACAGGCTGTTTATAATATGTAGTTTTACTTTCAAATGCCCTAGGTCTGAAATCGAAAAACTAAAAAATGTTAAGTATAACACTAAGTCTCATATCAGAAAATATGAAAGTTGATGAATAAATATTTAAATAATAATTTCTTATATTAGGGAAATATACATTTGAAAGAAAGAAATTTAGGAATAAAAATATACAACAAGAAAAATAAATTATTATTTGGTTAGGCTAAGTTTATTTTTACAAGTTACTAAAACTGGCTTAGTAGAGTACCTTTAATATAATATATATTTTATATTAATTTATTTGATAACATTATCATTTCCAAAATTCATAATTTCATAATATTATATTATATTTTAAATTCTGAATTTTGGATATGATAATATATAAATAAATATATTATAAATAATATATTTTAAATATGTATACACAAGTATTAATTATGAAAAATTACTCTAATAACCCAGTTTTAACATATTCTAAAAATAGATTATGTATGTATGTATAAATTTAAAATTAAGGTAATATTGAAATGATAATATATTGTATAACAAGAAATACACAAAATTAATAATTATTAATATTTGAATATTATTGAAAAAAAGGACTTGATATAATTTTATAAACTGAATACAATATAAATTTTAAATAACAAAATTTGGAATCATAAGATCACAGATATAATGAAAAATTATTATTACTCTCAAGTTAAAGAAAAAAATTATTTTAAGAAATTGATATATTTGAAAACACATAAATATTTTAATTATTTTTATCTATTTGCCTCTTTAGATTTAAATTATTTTCATTAAAGTTAAGCATGACTAAGGTGCAAAAAACACATCATCTATTTAAAGCCCTTAGGCAATTGTAATTGCAAGCTAAATAAAACACAGTTGAACTTAAAATTATTGGTTGTTTACTAAATAAACACATCAACAATATCCTAGTCCAAGGGTATTTATGGGTCGGCGCTCTCGCGCTGACTTCGAGCTCTTTCTAGTGGCTTTTATTGTTTGATGGACTGTGGAGCCGGGGGCGAGGGTGTGTACCAAAATAGCGCCAGCAACGCACGTCGAATGCAGGGGAGGAGGGAGGGGGAGGGGGGGAGGGCTGGCAGTTACAGATTTGACATGCGTCATGGCTCACGCCTCGGCCAGCGGCACTAATTGCAGCCCGTTCGCTCAGCATTTTCAGAAATTTCGAATTTCATTTCGGATTTGGCTTTAGCACTTGCAGCAGTCAAACAATTAGCAAACGGCCCGCCCGAACAGCAGCTGCTCGCCCAAAATATTGAATTGAACGTCAACATTCAAATCTGAATTCAGAGCGATCTGTCGCAGTCGCAGCAGCAGCAGCAGCCAACGTCAGAGATGCCAAAGAGCGGACACTGACTATAGCTGGCCTGCTCGCACTTGCGGCTGTCTGCGACTATTTTGGTAATCCCGACTAGTTGGGCATCTCGCTCGCCGGGAAAAAGCACCAAATACACAATCACACACACACACACACATTGATGCATATGTATATTAATATACACATAGACAGCTCATGTCCAACCTAGTTGTATGTATTGTATTTGGTATTTTGGTCGCTCTCCGGCGACGGCGATGGCGACGGCGACGGCAGCGGTTCCGGTGCCAGGCCAGACGGCGAGCAGTGCCATCGATCGGGACAGAAGCCTCAGAATCGTGTAATTTGCCTCGTGCGTTGACGCTGGGCGCTGCTCGCTGATTATTTTCAATTTATTGCTGCACGAAACGAAACAAACTGAATTTTTCCGTTCCGCTCGCATTATGCGTTTTTAATTGTACAACAAGAAATTCATTTTGTTTCATTTCTGCAATTTGTCTCGCGTCCGTTCTGTCACTTTACGTTGTTGTCACCACCTCTGTCTCTGTTGTCGTTGTCGTTGTCGTTCCCGTTGTCGTTGTCGTTGTCGTTTTCTTCCTATTCCGTTGTTCGTTGCACGCTGTTTCATTGTTCGTTGTTGTCGCCTCTTTCGTTGTCGCTGGCTGAGCGTTTACTCTCGCAGTGTCAAACACAGCCAGCGCCAGTGATCATCTCAGGAAGCATTCAAGATCTCAAGATTCACAGGTTCCAATTCGTGTCGTGAATGCAAACCTAAACTCAATTCTGCTCGTGATCGTGATTGTGAACGTGATCCTCATCGTCAACGTGATCGTGATAGTGATTATTTTCTGAAAAATTTCGATTGTTTATATAATAACCCAGAGCGGGCCACGAGCACATACAAGAAAGCAAGAAAAGAAGAAGAAAGAAGCAAAAAGAAGAAAATTGAAAATATTCATTTCTGCGTGATTCTCTTTCAGGCAAAACAAGTTGAGAAATTCTCTATTGAGTGTCTGTGCTGCCCTAGTGTGCGTGTCGGTGGGCCGCTATAGTCGCAATAGTTTTACAAATTTAGTGAGCAAGCGCCAAACCGAGTGAAAGTGACCCTAAAACAAGAGCCAAAGATACTCAAAAGAAGTGCATAAACCCCTTGAGATAAACACAATCAATTAGCAAACATGTCGGACAATGAGGAGGTTGTTGCTGCCGCCGAGGAGCAGACCAAGACAAGCCCCGATCCGGTGCCAGCCGCCGATGACGATGGCAGCAAGACCAGCGTCGTCACCGAACGCACCGAGGAGGTGATTCCCGGCGAGACCGAGAAAATGGTCACCGAAGCCATTGACGAGGATGGCGATGTCGTTGAGGAGACAACCGAAGTGACCCGCAAGACCGTCAAGCGTACCATGAAAATAACCGAGGTGAGTGATAGGAGTAGTACATGAATCTAGGGCTGGATCAGTCAGTGTTGGAAATAACCAAAACATGTCCAAATTCTTTATTTACTTATATGTTCATAAATATACATACATATACCAAAAATCATTTTTCACTCTGTGTGTGCGTCTTAACAAATTGTTTATATAGCCGTAGAAATGCCATAAATCACGATATGCTATCTATACTAGAATAGCATATATGTATATCCGCAGTATGTGTATGTAAATGCATGTATATATCATATGCTGAGCTGTATATGATATATCTATATGATATATATGTGGCTCGGACACACTTTATATAGGCGACGACGCCTGGCACGAAATCACAAATTTTGCAGCTGTTTGATTTCAGCGCAAATTACGAATATCAAAAAAACAAAAATTATTGTTAAGCACAAATCACTTAATGCGTTGTGATAGCTGCCAAGAAAGCAGAAAAAAAGCAATAATAAAAATTAAAAACAATCCGCCAAAAAGAACAAAATTATTATTCAAATGAAATGCAATAAATTCTGCGTTGCCTAGCAAAAGTCGCAAAGAAAAATGTAAAAAATATTGAGGTTTTCGTGTCTGGCGGTCTGGCAGCAGAAGCCGGGGCGCATTGCAATTAATTGCAACAACTTTTGTTGCACAAGTTACAAATTGCATTTCCGGTTCGGCGCGGCAGCGACGCGTGCGGCCAATGCAGCGCTATCTTGACTCTATATAGACCGCCTGAATTGATTTCTGTTATTGGCCAACTCTGTAGCCTTTTATGGCCGTCTGGGCTTTGTTTGCAGTTGTTTTTGGTTTGTTTTTTTTTCGTTTTTCTCAAATTTTATGTGACCCAAATTAAATTTGCGATTACGAGATTTTCGTTTTGGGGCTGATTTGACATTTTGTCCTTTGCTGTTTCCAAAGAGTCAAATGTTAAACGAAATTAAATGGAATCCGTTACGCACATGAGTTTAGATTTGCGCAACATGAGCGACAGCTATGAGGCAATGACACTGGCTGAAAGCCATATATCAGTTCCAGTTAATGGCCGAAGCTTTTATCGACGAGGCAGCGTTTATTTCCTTTAGTAAAGCTTTTGAAGATTGGAGGTGCACTATGTATTGAATTTGGCACTCAGTTTTAACTATTATTGGCAGGTGCCTGAACTTTCAGGAAGTTTTAGTTGTATTTAGTTTAATTTATATTTATTTTTTTATTTTTTATTTTCAATTAATATTAAATATTATTCTTGGGTGTCTTAACATATATAAAATAAAGATGTTTTAGTTAAGTTAGTGAAGCTTCAGCTTGTTATTTATTTTTTACTATTTTTTACTTATTTACTTTATTTTGTTACTTTATTTTATATCATATTTATTTCTTTTTTTTTTTCCAATTATTGTTGATTATAATTTTTGGTTTTCTTATCATATGTCCACATATGTTCATATATATGTATATAAAACACAGATGTTTTAATTAAGCTTCAGCTTGCTGTATATTTTCTTTTAAATATTATTTTACCTATTTTTTTTTATTATTTGTTTTTATTATTATTTATATATATATATATTTTTTTTTTTCAATTATTTTTTAGTATCTTAACATGTATGAAATACCAAAGTTTTAATTAGGCTTCAGCTTGCTATTAATTTTTGTTACTATTTTGTACATATTCTTTTTATTTTATTTATTTATTAATTTATCATTAATTAATTAGTTTATTTATTCAATTAATATTTATAATTATGTTTAGGTATATTAACATATATGCAACACAGAAGTTTTAATTAAGCTTCAGCTTGTTATTTATTTTTTAAATTATTACCTATTTGTATTATTTATTTGTTTTTAATTATCTTATTGATTTATTTTTTATACCCTGAACCCATTGAAAATGGGAAATCAGGGTATAATGGTTTTGTTAAAAGTATGTAACAGGCAGAAGGAGGCGTGGCAGACCCCACAAAGTATATATATTCTTGATCAGGGCGACGAGCTAAGTCGATTTGGCCCTGTCCGTCACACAAGTTTTTCTTTATATATCGATAACTACTCCCGATATTTTATTATCGATCAAAAACCTTATCGAAAGCTAGTTATTTAATTATATCTCCTACACCTTTAGAGCTAGAGCTTGCAAATTTTAAATGTAGACTTATATGTATTTTATATAATTTCGATTTTTGTTGTAATGTACCCCCACCCCTATATCCACCCCCTCACCCTCACCTTTGTAAAAGGCGTATTTCAAGTACTAGAGACATGTGCTTTGGAATGTACATACATTTTCACCATACGCCCTGAAACTTTTATTAAGATTGTACATCTAGAAATTAAATTATTCAACAAATAAATTCTTATAATGTTACTACACTACAGCGCAGCCCAAGCGCAGTTAGCAGAGCGCATTCTAATACGTGTGTGTGTATGTATGTGTGTCGAAAAGAAGTGCAGACTGATTAGAATATCAGATTAGAGGGTTCAGGGTATCTCCTAGTCGAGCAGTCTCGACTAGAGTCTTCTTACTTGTTTTTTTATGTTTTTACTTACTTAACTATTAATGTAAATAACACTAACTATTCTGTATAAGAGTTTTGGCTTATATATATATCTTTATCTTTTGAACGTCGCATTAATTTATATTTTAAGAGCCTTTAAATTTCATAAGTTTTAGTTAAGCTAAAGTTTGCATTTCGGTATTTTATTTTTGCTTATTATTAACTATTATTTGAATATTATACTAAGACTCAAGTCAAGCTAAGTTTTCTAAGCTGCAGTGTTTTGCATAAAGCCTGATAAGCTCTATGATGAATCAGCAGCTTAAAAGCATATTATTTCCAACGCAAACGCTTGTCACCTCCTCAGATACATCAATTTCATTGTGTGTCATATGAGTGGGTGCATGTGCGTGGGTGGGTGTGTGTGTTCATGCGTGGGTGTGCGTGTACATACATGCGTCAGTGTGCCCGTATGTGTATGTTGGCCCAGCCGCAGGTCAGCTAATTGTGATACGTGTGTCCGATGCGAGCGTGCCTCGTGCCACATGTCCTTAATGAGGCACGTGGTCTTTTTTGTCATTTTTATAGTTGGCCGCAGGCGTCTGGCAACCGCACGGGTACGTGACTCCGGCACGGCTCAAATTGAGAATGCAAAATGTGTTTAATGAGCGGCATGTGAGATTTGACATAAGCCATGAATTTTACAGTTGACTTAGCCGTAGTTTGCTGACCGCATCGCCCTTGCTCTGTTGTTGGCTCTGCTAATTTGCTAATGGATTTATGTAGTTGGCGAAATTGATATTGATGCAGTTAGCAGCATAGATTAGCAAATTTTCGTGGAACACACACACACACACACAGAGGCCAATAGTTGCGCCCAATGAGGCATGCCGATTAGTGCAGCAAGGCGTAAGCGATCACACAGTGCCGCACACAAAGCCGTGTGCAGAGATGGAGTTGAATATTTGGCCAAACACATTAATGGAATTTTCGGCGGCTCAAAGCCGGCAGCCACCCACACTTACTCACACACAGACACACACCCACCCACACACATGTGGTCAATGTTTGCTCAACTTGGCATTGCCAGCACAGATTTCGGAAGAATCGGTGCTCCACCACGATAGTGCCTGACCCTGGGCCGTTGCCTTAGCCCACTGCTGGGCCGTAGCCCTATGCGTCAGTAGCATTGACAGCTGTCAACGCTGCTGGCGCCTCAAAAACGACCCCACAAAATAATTCACAAGCGTCATCAGGCACACATACACACACACACTTACAAATGAGGCACGCATATTTATGTAGTCTATACTTTTCGCATTGCTACGGCATTTAGGTGTGACAAAACGAGTCAAAAACAATTCAATGTCATGTTGCGGCCACTTGATTTTCATTCATTTGTTGCAGCTCTCCCAAGGCAGCGGCCGCCCATTGCGCATACGACGCGTTGGCTCCAAGCGCTGCTCGCCGCTCGCTCGGTTCTATTCGATTTTGGTCAGCTATTTATGCGCTTGGCGTTTATTTTTTGTTTTTCGTTTCGTTTTGTTTCGTTCCGTTTGAATTTATTTATTTGGCTGCTTTTTGCTGAGCAAACAATTTATAATTTTAATGCACACACGCACAACAGTTGCGACTGTGTCTGTGTGTGTGTGTGCGTGTGAGTGTTAACTGAACATAATCTAAATATGTTTATATAATTGAAAAGCAAACGCGAAAACATCAAGCAAAACATAGCCAAAGTCTAAGTATGCCAGTGCGTCAGGCCAGGAAGGACGGGGGAGGCGGGCGGTAGGCAGACGATAGACGGAGGGGGCGTGACATATACAAACTGTTCATATGCTCATCAGTATATATGTAGTATATGCATGTGTGTGCGTGCTTGCGGTATATAAATACTGCTGCCAAATTGCTGAACGCACTGGGCCCACTGGGCGTATGATAAACGTGCCATTTATTTTGGCAGTCGGCTCGCTGTTTAACTTTTGAGCAGCGCAATTTTAGCACGATATGCGTCGAACGTGAGCATTGTTTGTTGCTATTGTGCTTGGCATAAATCAGTTTTATGAGTGGCATATCTCTTGTAATTTACAAGCACTTTTCATAAGCTGCCTGCCCCGCACAGATTTATTTGCTAATGCCTGAAGGCAAATGTCTGCAATGCGTTTGATTTTGATTTGGACCTGCCGCAACGGAAACTTTGCCACAAAGAGTTTACTTTGTAAGTTGTTGTTACAAGCCCAACAACAACAACAACAGCCGCAACAACAACAACAACAACAACATCAATGCCGCATCAACTGGGCAAACAAATAATTTCATTGCCTTCCATAAACTTCCTGCCGCCCGCTGGCGGATATTCAATTGATATTTACTTATTTCAATTACATTTTGTGTGCGGCGCATAAAACTCAAAACACAAATTCAATTTACAAAATGTTTTGCGTAGTTTTGCAAGTTGCCAACCGCAGCGCACACCACCGCATCACCGCACCACCCCACCAC